ATCTCGGTCAGCTGAGCACAACGGACAACATTCAAGGGTGTCACCCTTCCACGATACTGAGAGCCGTAGCGGTGAAAATGGAGAAATACAACGATGGTAGAACCGAGTCGTTTTCACCGCGGCAGTATAAGAGGTTAACTCGGGGCAACATCCCTGAGTTGATAATATCAGTGTTAGATATAAATCATAATCCTGTGAATATAGGATACCTCAGCATAACGCTGCACATAAAATGACTAGCGCACAAGGCCCCGGAATGAGGTTGAAAAAATGCATCAATGCGGGGATCTCCGACCTCGGGGACACATGCGGATTCGACGACCCCTGAGTAGATGGTAAATTGTATGCCTTGCAACTGAAAAACAACATTTACAAACGCGTTGAAGTCCCCTCCATCGGTGGAACCCTAGGTGACATAGTAGATACCACAGGAGCGACCATCAACACTCGGTACACCCTAGTCCGCACCGGTGATGATAAATGGATGGTATACCCATCGTTCGGAGGCAAACTGTTCGACTTAGAAGATGTTGAGAGCACGACCGTCGCCCGAAACAAGCCATATACGCTCGTCTTCACTGATGATGACAAGTGGGTGTTGTTACCCTTTCACGACTGGTTTCTCAATATTAGGCTCGGCTCCCCCTACGTGTTCACGGAGAAAAAAGACAACTATCTTAACAAAGTCGTGAACAACGGAACCCTGCTCGTGGCTTACGTCCCGGCGCAGAGACGTAGCGTAATCATCAACCCAGTCGCCAGTATGGCAGCCCACATGCTATCGAGTAAACCGGGAGTGCAAGACGGGACATTGCAGTTGGTGTCTGAATTCGAAGGCATGGTCAACATCCTGGAGAGTCTACCGGCGAACTCCACGCTGGTCATCAAAGTCTACCTTGGGGAACCATCGACGGATGAAGTCGAAATCGTAAAGGGGGTCAAACTCCGGTGGGTGAAACGGCACCAGTATCAGGTTTGCACTGTTTACGTGCGGGTGGGTGTCGACTCCCACACCAGTATGCAGGGGGGTCACCGTGACCGTGGAAGACACGATATCACTCACCAAGATCTTCTTACCCGACAACATACACTTCATGGGGTTGAAGTGCACCCCTGAAAAATTATCAGAAAAACAATTGGAAACTATCTCGTAATAGTATTAAAGCAATGTCCAATCGGCATCGGCCCAACGTCACACTTAATGATCTAGGAGACACGGAGGGATTCGATCTGCCCGGTGAGGAAGACGCCTTGTACGTCCTACGCTTGAAAGACAACGTGTATAGGCGGGCGGCAATGGCCGATCACCTACCCAAAATCACCCTCGGGGGTCTAGGAGGCATAGAGGGATTCGATCAGCCCGGCGTGGACGGCACCTCGTACGCCCTGCACTTAAGAGACGGTGTGTACGTGCGGGTGCCTGTGGCAGACAACCTTATAGAGCCCGAATGGTTGATCAACATGACCCTCACCGGACCTTACGTCTCTTTAAATAGGCATGGAATAGTCTCCGAAATTAGAAACAATGGTATCTTAATCGGGTCTTTCGTTCTGGGAAGGATGGTTATAGAACATCATCTAATGCCAGATCACACGGGTTACATGATAAGTGGTAAACTTAACCCAGAGTTAAGGTTTGATGTGCCCGATTCCCAATTGGATGTGAAACCGGACTCCACACTCATCATAGAAGTCCAGCTAAGAGATAATGATCCTTTTGATAGAGGGCAGCAACTTTTACCTGGGGTGACAATACACCATGGCACCATGGGCATTCACAAACGTTTCCGTATCACCATATACCGAGGGGGGGCGACAGGGAGTATAATATCCACCTTCACATCCCCCCCGGGGGCTCGTGTAATCACAGATTTACCCATTAAACTCTCACCTATTTCCCCGCACGATAAGCTAAACCTTATAAGTCTCAAATATATTGAATAGGTAGTAAACCCATAGGAAACACAATTAAAAAGTATCTCATATAATATATTATAGGATGGGACTGTACCCAGTCGTAGAGGAAGTAGGGAAGACACTGGAAACCGTAGACGGATTCCGCTTGAGACAGTTATGTGATGTAAAACGCCAACTAGAACAAGACCGCGACACTCGGAAAGCACTATATAAGAAGTACCATAGAGCTTTCAATATCGTGGACGGGACTGATACTGCCCTTATGGCAACCAGCATGGGACTAGGGGCGGCAGGTGTTGGGTTGTTAGCCACCATCGTGGCCACACCTATAGTGCTAGGCATTGAAATAACAGCTGGGGTGGTAAAGTGGCAGGGATGGTGTTTAAGTTTGTATCCCGCAGACTGCATCGTAAAGCGTTGAAACACGACGAGATCAGGGTTCTGGCCGAAGCAAAGCTGAACACGGTAAGTGAGCGTATTTCGACAGCACTCACTGACAGTAAGATCTCAGAGGAGGAATTTCGTTCAATCCTCTCTGAACTCGACAAGTACCGTAGGATGAAACAAGAAATCCGGTCCAAGTCTCGTAAGTCTGCTATCCGCGAAGACGAGAGAAAAAAGTACATAGAACAGGGGGTACGAAAAGCCTAGCAAGCCTTTATTACGAACACCAAAGAGATCATAGGCGATTCACATTAAACTGTTTCCTCGAGGTCAACACGTCATAGCGACACTATTGTGCCACGTGGGGTCGGGAAGTTAACTGGGGGTTCAAAAAGTAGTAGATATACTGGGGCGAGATCTAAGGGCCTGACAAAAGCTTTATTTGTGAAATAAAGCTTTACAGAGGCTTTTTGTTGGACTTGATCTCAGACTATCATTATATCTACTACTCTGGTTATTAATGTCTCTTAAGCTGAGTGTCGTCACGTGAGATTCCTTTGGAAGAATAATCGGGTGTTTCGCGTCAAGAGAGATTTCAGCCTGAGAGAGGCAGCCACCAACTCTCAGTATTCCTTCTATCAGAACAAGATCCAGCTTTCTGAGTCTTGTGGAAACAACATTTTTCTTGTGATCAGTACATTTCATTTCTTCTGGAAAGTGTTGGCGCTGGACATGTTTGATAATGGTAACTTCTGCTCTGTCTAGTATTTCTGATGATAAAAACTTGTTTGGGCGTTTTGTTGTTTCTTTTTTCAAGATCTTTGCTTTTAGAGTGTCGAAAACAATTAAGATCCATCCTACAGCTCTCTTGAGCTTCCACCAGTCAGAGAAGTGAAGCAGTAATCTGTCGATTATTTCTACCTGCTGAAGTGAAGTAATGCTGACAACTTTCTTCACCTCTGGGTCTGCTTCAGGTAGATGGTAGTTGAGGTTTGCTGCTCTCTGCCATTCTGCTTCATGACACCACAGGAAATCTGGTCCCTGTAACCAGAAGTCCATTTGGAGGAACTTATGAATTCTCGCGCCTCTTGATGCTATGTCAGCTGGGTTCAATGATGTCTCAATGTATTTCCACTGTTTCAGATGTAAGGCTTCCCTGATCACTTCAATGCGGTTGGCGACAAAGGTGTGAAATCTTGTCTTTTCATTAGTGATGTACCTAATAACTGGTATACTGTCGGTCCAGTAGAATACTGCAGACATGGAGTAGTCAAGTTCTTTCACGATCATCTTGCTGAATCAGACACTCAGGGTTGCTGCTGTTAGCTCCATTCTCGGCACAGTCACTTTCTTTAGTGGTGCTACTCGAGATTTGGCAAAAACCAAAGAACAGTGAATCTCATTTCTGCTGTTGGTTAGTCTGAAATAGGCTACAACACCATATCCGCTGTCACTAGCGTCTGAGAACATGTGTAGCTCACATGTACTCACAGGAACAAAGTCTCTCGGTTTGTATGATCTCATGACATGAAGTTCCTCAATGTGAAGTAGATCTTCTTTCCACTGAGTCCATTTTCGTAATACATCTCTCTCAATCTTGTCATCCTAACCTAAATTCTGACGACAAAGGGTCTGTAGCAGTGACTTTGCTGTAAGTAGGAAAGGTGATAGTTGGCCGATCGGTTCATAAACCGAGCTCACGGTTGCTAGAATTCCTCTCTTGGTGTCCATGTGATTTCTAAGATTAACCTTGAAGCCAAGAGTATCCTTCTCTACTTCCCAAAACACTCCAAGTGCTCTCTCAGGTGGAAGTTCTGAACTTTCCAAATCCAAGTGTTTGACACCTTTTGCCCTTTCTTCAGCTGGAATTGAGTTTAATACAGTGTGGCTATTGCTCATCCACTTGGTCAAACGAAAACATTCCTCTCTGACAGAGACTTGTAATTTCGTGTATGAGAGTTGTGGCCCTTTCTTCACTGGTGGCAGACTTCAGACATTCATCTACGTAGAAATTCTTCTTTATCATTTCTATTACTTCTTCCTCGTGGAACTCTTGGTTAACATCTGCTGTCTTGTGTAGTGCTGGGTTGGAACAGCTTGGTGATGATACTGCTCCAAACAGGTGAACTTTCATCCGATATGTTGTTGGCTCTTGTTGCAGGTCACCATCTTCCCACCAGAAGAATCTCAGATAGTCTCTGTCTTCGTCAGGCACCTGCACCTGATAAAACATGGATTCAATATCACCCATGAAGGCAATATTTTCTTTGACTGAACCTCAAGAGAACTCCTATGAGTTTGCTGGTTAAATCTGGTCCTGGCAGGAGTTGACTGTTCAAGGAAATACCATTGTAGGTGGCTGAGCAATCAAACACCATGCGTATCTTGTCCGGCTTTCTGGAATGATAAATACCATGATGGGGTATGTACCATTCATTTCCTGTTTCTTTCTTCATCCTATCTTCAGGGACTTTCTCTGCGTAACCCTTTTTCAGGATATTGTTCATGAATTCAGTATAGTCTTCATGAAATTTCTGATTTCTTTTCAATTTCTCTTTCAGGCTTTGAAGTCTGTGAAAGGCTTGGGTTTGGTTCTTTGGTAAACAAACATTTTCTTTTCTGAAGGGTAGTTTGATAGAGAAATGTCCGTTTCTATATTCAATTGACTTTTCGTCTTTCTCTTTGAAGAGATTATCTTCTTATGAATGTTCTTTCTTGTCGTCAATCATTTTCTCTGGGAAATCAAAGTTGATTGCCTGTTTAACAACTCTTTCCAAGTTTCTCAAACTTTCTACTTCTTCCAGGGCAGCTACTTCTGTTCTAAATACAGGAAATCTAATGTCTTTGCTCTCGGCTGTGCTGCGTACAACGTTCCAGACTACCCATCCAAGCAGTGTTCTTGTAGCATGTGGAATCCCCTGCGGACCTGTCTTCACCATCATGGGGGTATACGCATCTGGCATATTGTTACCAATGAGGAGACCGATTTCTGAGTTGATCTGTGGCAACATGACATCAATCAGATGTTCCCATTGCTCGATATCACCTTGATTCGGAATATGGTCCTTCGAGACTGGAATTTCATCCTTTGAGTAAACCCTTGGAAGTTCAATGAATGTGCCTCCAGTGTAATTGCTGACTTCAAGTCCACATACAAGATTGGTTAGCATTGAGTGAGGCTTCCCCATAGTTTCTAGGGAAATCTTCATCTGTTTTCCTTCGCAGCCGAGTTGGTCCATCAACTGCTCTGAGCAAAATGAAACACTACTTCCAGGATCAAGAAAGGCACATGTCTCTACCGTCTTGCAGGTATTCCTCGTTCTGACCCTCACAGGGATAATGGCCATTGTACTTTCAACTTCACCAGCCCCCATAGGGCCACTAGCACAGGCACTTGTTGGTCTGGACTCAACGTTCTTGATCGCAGCTTGTGATTTGTGACCATTGATGTGTAACAAGGTGTGGTGATTACCATCACACTTTGACCACTTCACCTTCCATTCACACTGTTTGCCTCTGTGTCCACATCTAAAACATCTGAAACATAGGCCTTTAGTCATCATAAGATGTAGTCGTCTGTCATGAGAAAGAATCTCCCATTCTCTACAGGAACTGAGCTCATGGTTGTTTGAACTACAGCAAATACATGGTGTCATCAGGGATCTTGGCCTTTGATCATCAGATTTTCTGAACACTGTATTGTTGTCTTGTGATCTTGTTCCTTGTGTGGAGTCGGTGAGGTTTGTGGCAAAAGTGCGAGTCTTGTTTTGTTGAATGCTTCCGGGACGATATCTTGACAGTGAAGGTGATGATTTCTGTTCATAGCTGAGAGCTTTCTTGCAATAGATTGGATCAACTGCTTTCTTCGCTTCTCGTCGGACAAAGTCCACCAAATCGCAGAATCGAATAGATTGGTGTCTGTCTTTCGATGCTTGAACAAGGTTTCTCCACTTGTCATGGTACCGGTATGCTAGCTTTATAACTAGTCTCTTCATGTTTTCAGGATATTCCAAGATTTTGAGAGAGTTGATGCTGCCTACTGCATGTTCACATTCAGTGAGGAATATCGAAAACTCATCCAATCCCTTTACATTGTCTATCTTGATAAGCGGCCACTCTAACGTTCTCTTGATGTAGGTTGAAGCAATCAAATCTGTGTCCCCATATCTCTCCTCAAATTCTCCAAGTATTGCGTTGTAAGCTGTGTTGCCATCCATGTAACTGTAACCACGTACAATCTTGTTTGCTTCTCCAGTGGTAAACTGATCCAGGTAGTTTACAATCTCATCCATATCATCAGTGTTTGAAATCACTTTATTCCTAAACTGTCTCATGAATCTCTTATAGTCTAGAGCATCTCCACTAAATTTCATCATTTCTGTAGCCGGCATACTGAGATGGCGAACGACAGAAGTGTAGTCAATCACTTGGCGACCAGTCTGATGTTTACTTGCGGGTGCAAATGGAATCGAGTTTGGGTTTAAAGCTCTTTTAGAAGTGTCATGTTGATCAGTCAAGGGCTCTCTCTTTAGTTTAACTGTCTTTAGTGGCGAAGATAGGTCTTGCCTTTTAACGATGGTCTCAGAGTTGTTCTCTTTATTTTCTGGAAGAACAACAGACATACTTTTTTCAAACTGTTCTATGACCTTACTTTTCGCCTCTGTGATAGCTAATTGAGTTTCAAGCTCTAGTTCTTTTTCTTGCATTTGCAATTTCAATTTTTCCAGTTCAATCTGCTCCTCTTTCTTCAAAGACTTGGACTTTACTCACAGTTCAGCCTTTTTCTGTTCCTCTTCTAACCTGGCTAAGGAGAGGGAACTAGCCCGGCTGTAACGTGACCCTGCCTGTGATGTTACTAATGTACCTGTGTTAGAGATGCTGTCCTTCGATGTCAGTGCATTTTCTTCAAACCAACTTTCGACCCTCACCTTAAATTCTTGAATAACTGGAGTTTCTTCATTTTTAACCCAGTCCATATATTCTTTCATTTCATCTTCATTCAAAATTTCTAAATATTCATCTCGCAATGCAAAATGGCTTTCTAATAGGACTAGGTAGTCTGAATGTTCTTTTCTCAAGGTGCAGATGTCAGGTTCTTGTAATGTGACTTCAAGAAATGCATTTTGTCTGTCTTTCAACTTCTTAAACGACCGACGTAACCCCTTCTGTTTTATTTCTTTCATGTAAGCCTGTCCTTTATCTGTCATTTTGCGCTTTCTAGTAGACAAACTACTGAAGGGTGAGTCTTTATCCGTATCTTGTGCCATCTTTACATCTATCAACTTTCAATTCCAAGGTCAAAATGTCAATGTTATAGAGTTCTAGTGTTCTTTTTCTAAATCCAATTGAAAACAAATGTCAATTCCTCAAATTTTATTCCACATGATAATATGTTGAATATGACGATGTGGAAGTGTGAAGACGTTCAATTTTGAAGATTGACTGAAATAACAAAAATAAAGGATCAGAAGTTTCAGTCCACAGTGAAAATGCAGAAAATGGCTGACATTCATTCACTGACAAAGTTACCTTCAAAAGCAAAATATAGACATTCAGAATTACCAAATTAACATAATGCTACCCAAATAAATACATATAAGAATAAGTTGGAGTACATACCATTTTGTTTGGCCTTTTACATCATCAAATCTAATGTATGAGACACTCTCACTGCCCATGCTGTCTCTCACCCATGTGCCTCTCAGGCACCCAACTAGAGTTACCCGACTTGCCTTAGTCTCAGGTAACTGAATCACCTCACAAATCTCTCTCTTTCTCTTTCTGATATTTTAACATTGTCATAACCAAAATTCTTTCTTACTTTTAAACTCATACATGCACATTTTTATACATACATTAACTCACACATTCACAATTTGATACAAAATACTCAAAACCTGACAAACTTAGTACACATATCTTTTGCACTTAATATTTATACACTCACTCTTGCTACTTAAATGCAAACACTCTATCCATTCATACCAATTTATATACAAACAAAAAATAATCTATTACCTGAACACTACATGCTGTGAATATTGATGCATTTAGGATTACTCTTTCACAATTGGGTACATCCAGTATTGATCTTATGATATCACAGGGTAGAAAATTAGGCATACTTAAAAGTGAAAGACTTTGTCCATTTTGTATCATCCCAAATGTATAAACAGAATACAATGTCTGTCTAGTGTGTCCATTTTATAATGACCTTAGAAGAAATTTCCTGCCAAGTTATTACTACAAATTTCCCTCAGAGTGTAAATGTAAACTTTTATTTACCACCAAAAATACTTCCATGCTTAATAACCTTGCCAAGTTTACTTTCTTTGCTCTTAAAATGAGGAGCAAGCAATTGTCCATTACATAACCTACATATTCTATATTCACATGTACACTGTATATTGTATGAGATATAACTTGTTGAACTCAAACATTGCTACATGCACGGGTGGCGCAGCATCAACATCTTTGTCAATACATTCATTGTAAAATGGGCCTGTGGCCTGATTTACCGAAATAAACTACTACTACTATTAATTATTATGTATAAAATTAATTGTTCTCGTCACGATATGGCTGAAATATTGCCGATGTGACAATAAATTTTAACTCACTCACTCACTCACTCATCCATCGGCTAATGATCTGACGCATTCGACCAACTTGCTATCATAATTCTTTCCCAACATCTTACTCAGATCTGTTCCAAATTGATACCTAGACTCCTAAAGGTGTCTGGGTTCCATCTTTTTTTTAGGTTGGGTAGATATTTTACAGAACAGTTTGTCTTTGAGCCAATCCATACAACTTCAGATTTGTCATAATTGATATTTAAACCTGAAATATATGCAAAAAGATTTAGAATATCAACAGTAGATTCAAATGAAGTCCTTGAGCCATCTAAGATGAATTCTGCGTCATCTGCGTACTGAGTGAGAAGATATTCCTCATTACCAACTGTGATGCCTCTGATGTTCGGATTTTTTTCTACTAACCCAGCCAAGATTTCAACACAAAGAATAAAGATGTATGGCGATAACGGATCACCCTGTCTACAACCTCTTTGAATGGAGAACCAAGGTGACAATGAACCATTTATGACAAGACAAGATTTGATATCATTATACATGACATTGATCCATTTCTTAAAATCATCACCAATATTAAAAAACGACAGTGTTTTATCTATGAATGACCACGAGACTGAATCGGAAACCTTTGCAAAGTCTATCAGGAAAAGCATCCCAGGAACTTCCTTTGATTCTGTATGCTGCATGATATCATAGAGAAGTCTTATATTATCTCCAGTATATCGTCGTGACATGAATCCAGTTTGATCAGTACTAATCAATTTAGGAAGAACTTTATAGAAGCATCCCAGATTACCTTACTGAGGGTACACTACAAACTTGTAAGAGGTTTTCCTGGCGAGGAGATAGCGCTTGGGGGACCATTAGGAAGAAGACAACTAAACAATTTGGGCTTTAAACATTCTGTATTCAAGCTAAATCCGTGCATTCAGAAACAAATTTCAGGAAAAAGACAGTTACGTGTTAGAGGTATTATTATTGTGAATAAAGTATCTAGGCACTATCATTGACTGTAAACCAACTTGGAATGACAATGTAGATTACTCATACAAAAACGGTCACCAGAGATTGTATTTCTTACGTCGTTTAAACATTTTTAGAATTGATTATTCTCTTATGGTACTGTTTTACAAAACATTTATACATAGCATATTAACGTTTAAACTACTTTGTTGTTTTGGTAACATGTCTGTTCAAAACAAAACTAAACACAGCACGCAAAATCATGGCACAGATTCAGTAACATCTATCAGCCTATACTCTACGAGCAGCAATTTGTAAAAAGGTGCAGAAAATTGTAAATGACAGCTCTCATATTCTATTTCACGATTTTGAATTTCTTACATTAGGACGTCGTCTGCGCATGCCGATAGCTTGAACAAACAGGTTCCGTCATTCTTTTGTATCAGCCGGTAATCATTAATTTTAACAACAGTTAATATTCATATTAATTCATTTATCATCTTACCTTCAATGTAAACCATTAAGTCATGTATTACTCTTTCACTCTTTTAGTGCTCTTATCTATTTATTTGTTAATTATCTTTGTGCTTGTTGAAATGTGATATGAACTGTGTTTCCATGTTTTATTGCGTTCTCCGTGTTTTACGATGTAACCAAAATTTCCCTCGGAATAATAAAGTATTACCTTATCTTATCTTATAAGACTTATTAGCATTGTTGATAATTTTCAATTCACTGTCCAGCAAACGCATTACAAATGCCTGAACAACATAAATGGGGGTGGGGTGTCACTCATTTTGTTCTGAGATGTAGTGCGGTCATCAAAACTGATGTAGTACACATGTACAGTATGGGTGGGGGCATCGATTTTGTGCCAAAATATATCATGAATGTATGCTTTATAAGCATGGGAAGGCGGAAGGCGGGGGGGATTTGTACATGAGACGGGGGCACTTTAATTTGTACATAATTTTTAGGGGTCATTCACATTGTACTTGCTTCTCCATAAAAATCATCATCATCTCACCCACCACCTCACCCCCACCACACCACACCCTAACACCGTTATAAATTATCAAAGAGGAACGGTTGTAAATCGGCAACACCGTTATTATTATTACAGAGTGATATCAAAGTTGTCGTTTTTATTTCTGTGTACATCGGCAACAAGCGAAGGGGTTGGCTTTGCCGTGTCTATAATGATTATTACTGAGGAGGATAGACTGGCAAGTTGTCATTTTGTTTTAATTGTGGTTTTGTCCAGAATGTGTGAGCCGACAATCATTTGTCCAGAATGCACGGTTTCCAGGCATAATAGCCTGGAAATCTCTTTTACTGTTTATACATGGGGACACTCCCAACAAAACTTCGGTCATACTGTGTGGTCTAATCAAGCAGGAACGTTTGCCGAAATAATTAAACAATGTCATTATTACTTATTCTTTTTTAAGTTACATATTAGACCCATTATACCTTTTTCACAAATGCACCCTGGTCACGGCTTTAACTATGTATCGTGTAGTAACGTAGAGCAACCTGCTATATGTACTATATACATTACAGAATACAGAGCGCATCAACGCCCACTTGGGGGATGTGTTACAGTATGTTTGATCGTAAGTGAACTATTGCATGACGTCGTGTACACTGGAACGTGTATCATGATTAATGCAGTATGCATCGTGCGTAACGAATCTCCATGCCATGCTTTCATCACTCTGTTTGGGAAAGATTCGGCCACCGTGAAATTGCTGGAATATTGCTTGTAGCGGCGTAAAACTAAATTCACTCACTTCGATTCCTGCATGACATTGGGTCAGTACTTCGTATGG